CCCCTCCCCCTGCCTTTCTCACATACACATACACACAGATAGATACGTAGAGGCCAAGGGCATAGGACTCACAACAGCACTTTCCTAAACGTATCTGACGGGAGAAAGGGCCACATTCAGTCAAGAAAATACTGAAATAGTAAAACTACTAGCATGTCATAAGAGTTCCAAACCCACAGGAAGCTGAAGAAATAAGAAACTTACTAATTGGGCTTTGGAAATAGTCAGATTTTAAATTTTAAAATTTTAATACCATTATATTGTGCAGTGTGCACGATATCTTTAACAGAGAATCCGTCTCACGTGTAATAAAGATTCTGCCTTTGTGCACTGGGGGAAAAAATGAAAAAAAAAAAAAAAAAAACGACTGCACGATCTGTTCCTTGTTTTTCTGAATCTTTTTTTTTTTTTTTTTCTGAATCCTCTTTTCAGAGGGCATATGCTAAATTTTGAGAGAGAAAAAAAAGAAAAAAAGAAGAGGGCATATGGGAGGTCAAAACCTTTGAGAGTCTGTTTCATTGCCTAGTCATCAGCAACTGTCTTCATCCGAACGCAATGCACCCTCATTATGTCTGCATCAGACCGGAAAGATAGCTTGTATACATGCTGGGGGAAGGCAGTAGGGCCAGGTCCCAGGGTGCATGGATTCTTAGATCAACGGTCAGAAATAAACGATCTGGGCAAGTGGGGCCTGCCCTGATCGTGCCGGAATGTCAGGATGTTCACAAACTTCACATGCTATTTATAGTTCGAAGTCGGGGAAATTGAGAATCGAAATAAAGCAATAGTGGAAGCCAGACAAACTTTACAGTTTAAAAAGCACCGACCTTGAAAGACGCTTCAAGAAGAAATAAATAAATAAATAAAAAAGACGCTTCAAGAGGGCCCGTGGGTCCCAAGGTTCTCTTGGGCTTATCAATGCCATTGTTCGTGTAATTGTTGTCAGGGATGCCTCTGTCTGCAGTCTGCAGACGTACCACTTGCTGTGCGCCCTTGATTCCACCTTTGGTCTGAAACATGTCAGAGTATGACCTGGGACCTCAAATCTCTGTTGAGTCACTTGAGTGTCCCTGGGGATAGACCTGGCAGAGCAGGCAGAGTGACTTGCTTTTCAGATTACAAAACGGGAGCGTACAGGGCATCGTTCCTCCACTGAGTCCGAAAAATATTCTTTTCTGGAAGGAAAAAAAAAAAACTAACCATTCTGCCCACAAAGGGGGCGGGGGGGGGAGAGCACCCTCCTTCCTTCCTTTTATGGTACATCGGACTGCATCCTTTCCAGCAGTGATCTGGCACTCAGTGGAAATCCGGATACCGCGGCGAACATAAGTGCACTGTGTTTTAAACACCGCCAGTACACGGCCCCGACCTTGCTGAAAATGCAACTCGTCGCCTACTAAAATTTTGGAGGCGTGGCCTACTGGACCACAATGGCTGGAGCCTGGCGGTGCCAGCCAGAAAAGAAAGAAAGTGTGCCACTGGGAGATCGGAAATTCTTGGCGCCTCCAGGCCCGGGTGTATTGGTGGCTTAAGAAGACGTTGGCGGTGATGTGTATTGTACGATTGCTTTTTTCCGTGCTAGCTTTGGTAAGAACTAGATGAATGGATAAATGGGGTTGAATTTCTAGGGTGGGGGGAGGGTGAGGGGGAGGGGAAGAGGGTGGAGGGGAGGGGGAAGGGGGGAGGGAAAGAAAGGAATTGGATTGTCTTTCGCTTTGTTGGGAGCGAAGTCTGACTTAAACCACCCCCGTACTTGGCCTAGCTATCGGCCGGGGGAAAAAATAGAGTAGAAAGTTACTAGAAACGTATTTAGTCGGATGAATTTGGGCGCTTCTGTAGTAGCCCGTACGTTTCCTGAAGTCGCAGTGGTTATATACCTGGATTTTTTATTTCATACTGTCAATTGAGAAAATCAACCTCCAGAAGCGAGGGATCGGGACGACTGGGACCTTTCCCCTGCTGCTAGTAGCATGCCATTGTCTCATTTTGTAAAAGCGTTCCCCTAACCAAGAAAATGGCCACCGGCCACTGCCCAGACAAGGAACCCAGCAACTCAATGTGAGGCTTCACTTGCTAGGTAGTGTATATTATGTGATGTCAACAGCCCAAGAGTAAGAACTACAACCGTAATAGGGACGGTCCTTAACAAAGCTGATTTCAGGGGGTGCTTATGGGGCGATTGCACTCCCATATATTGTGACTTTCATATGAGTATTGGTCAGACCCTTATGGGCATATGCGATGTTTTCAAGAAATTTGCTTGTTTCGAGCTTGTGACCGTTGGTGAACCACGCAGGTATGGCTGTAATGCTCTCTCTCTCTCTCTCTCTCTCTCTCTCTCTCTCTCTCTCTCTCTCTCTCTCTCTCTCTCTCTCTCTCTCTCTCTCTC